TATACCCTACAATATGTATATGTACAACAAGCAAGGGCAGAGACACCCAAATCACGTGTCTGAGTGTCTCACAGTTTGAGTTGAGTGTCTCACAATTTTAAGGATTGAGTTCATAAGCTGCATAACTGTAGATGTATCTATCTAATTCTCTTAGGATTAACTTCCCTCTACTTAGGGGACTGACTAAGATTAACAGATAAGAAAATACTTCTTCAATATACCTGCTGTCAAAAACTTGACAGTCCTGAAGAATATCACAACAGTAGCAAACAGTATACAAATGTCATAATGCTACTGCATGCAAGATACTCTTCCTAGTAAAATCGTAGTAATTGCATGAGTTTCAAAAGCAAGAGAAACAGGTGTTTTTCTCATGCAGTAAACTGCAGTAAAACTTCTCATGCATTAAAGGACAGATCTTTTAATGGTAACTGAGGTGACTAGAAAGAAGAGACAATGATATATGAAGTAATGCCTTGAAATAATACATTGAATAGAAAGAGCTGATTGGAGACGCTTACTTTTTTTTCCCCTTTTTTCCCCTGTAATGCAGGAATTTGTGCTGTTTGTTGGACTTGAGAAGTAATTTCATCAAAACTGAATGAGTAACACAAGATGTAAAAAAACCCAACTTTCCTAAACTTTCACTATCCATAGAAGAGAATAAAATATGTTGACATGTTTTCTTTCAGACACCTGAGGAGCTAGAAGATGTCTCTGACCTTGAAGAAGACCATGATGCATGTAGTCGTACAAGTATTCAGACTGAAGGGAAAACTGACAGGGTAGGTATCACACTGATTTAATTAAAAAGCAATCTGACTGGGGTAAAATGTTATTGTATTATTGTTCCTGTGAAGCCGCTTAAAGTCAGGCGGTGAATCATCAAAATTCCATTCCACTTTTAATAGCTACCTGAAAATGTGCAGAGACATGAAGCTGACGTGAGGATGACCCAAAAGAGAAAAATGTGTGATTAAGTGGTAAATACTTAGTGCAGATTTAAACTGGAGAGGAAAAAATCTTACGTTACAGCCCTGAACAGAATTCTGATTAAAATTCAATAAATTTGCCTTAGTATAATAGAGATTAGGTTAATTGGGGATTTTGATATGTGAATCTGCAATGCATGATATCCCAAAATAGCATCTACATGTGAGAAGCTCCACAGGCCAAGCACAGGAGGGGATGTGTTTGGAGCGTTMGCCGCGTGCTGTGTGAGGTACAGACTTCTCCTGCTATGCGTTCAAGTGGGAACTTACTGTCTAGTTATTGCTTAGTTCATGRGGAGGTATGAAAACCTTTAGATGACGTTTGATACTTTGATTAAATACTTCTGAAAATCTGGTTTTGCTCTTTGTATCACCRTTTAGCTTGATGGCTGCATTATTGGCTATGGTTTATTTTTTACATTCAGACAGTTCTTAAGAGCCTGTAAATATTTTCAAGAGAGAAAAAGGTTTTTTAGTCCAAAATTGGCCTATTTATCTTATTTATGTTTTCATTTTAAAAAATGTTTCAGCAAAACCATACTCTGGTAACAACTTTCTCAAGTGGAAAGCTCCACAGGGCCAGAACTGTCAACTCCATTACTTATCTGCATAATGCCTAGGGCAAGAACGGATCTCTTGTACTTGATTGATTTTAGTGCTATTCCCCTAGTAGAAATTATAAACAATAGAACTAGATGGAAGAAGCAAAACTTCAAATAAAACATGAATGATGTCAAGGAAAATGTCATTTTTATTCACATTGTTTTCAAGATGCAAGTATTTTATTTTTTATTAAGACCCCCCAAACACTAATGAGAAAATGTTAAAAAATCTCTCCACTTGTTTTTAGTATTTCATAAAAAGTGAAATGAATTTTGGAAAAAAAGTAAGCAAAAAGAAACTGGTATTAGAATAGTACTTGATTGATCTTTCTGAAACTGCTGTCAGTTTAAATATAAATATCTATGTGTATACTAAGGAAGCTTGGTGTTCTGCAGAAATAGTGGTATGTTACTGGATGTACTCTTTTAAGAAAAGATTCAAAATAGAAATTGTACATGCTAATGGTGCATTGACAAAACTAGGCAAAAGAGAGAAATTCTTTACTGATATGGGGAATGGTAAGGAACATCCCAAGATGACTGGGATAGTCATTTTTGTTTCTCCATGAAACAAGTGAAAATTCACCTGCTTTCATAAGGATGTGCATAGCATTAGAAATGTGTTTCACAGATTAAAAATCAGTATTTTGAGACTGGAACTTTTCATTGTTAGTCTCAAAGCCTTGCAGAGCCTCCTGTGACTGCTGCCTGTGTGTGTAGAAGGGAGTGTTAATTCTGTCAGGGTCAATCATATGTTAACTAATTACTAATTCCTAAAATATATTGTGAGAAATGGAACTGTGTGAAAGATTAACATGCATGATCTTACTCCTCAGTAAACAGTTGGCAATTAATGTATCCCAGCTGCCCTTCTTAATGTAAATTATTCCTTGTAGTTTGCAGCACTTCTCTTTCTCACATTGCAGACTAAACATTCTATTGGAGTTAAGGACAAGGTTTTCTATCAAAATGTTATGTATGTCAGATGCTAGGAGTTTGTTATGTGATGGATGGTGTGCTTGCAAACACATGCATAAAAAACTATAGCAAACATATTTGAAAGTTTTCTCTCACTGGTAATTATTATCCTAAGGTAGTAAAAAGATGCAGTAAGGTTTTTCAAATATCACATTCTTCCACATGTTCCTCTGTTTCTTACACAGTTCAGAATGCTGCTTTAAGGTGAATATTTTTTGAAAAGACTTTAAATAATCGAGAACTCTGTGCAAAGCAAGAGCAATGACAGGACTATTGTAGGTGGGGAGCCTGGCTATCAAGAACCTTAGGCTAACATTAGGCTAATGGTGTGGTAGAGGTATCTTTGGAACTTGCTTTCTGTTGTACTGCACACACACTGTGATCTGCACTGCCTCTGAATTTGGACAGTTGTTTAGAGATAAAATGTGGTTTGTGGGTGTGAAAAATTAGTATCAGCACTTTTTTCWTCTTTCTTCCAAAATGCAGCACTACTGCTTTTTCAAGAGGTAGATAGCAGTCATTTTTTAAAGCCTGATTCTCTATATTTACTAGGGAACAGTTCTAGATTTCAAATTTATGGTATCAGGGCTGTAAAATGGCATATTATCTAAAAATGTAATAGAAGATTACAGCTTCGACTAGMAGAGATACATATGCTCTCAACTTAAATCAACACGTTTACAGTAACCTTGACGATTTTTAAACCAATCTATTTGCTGTTGATACAAACCTGAACAATGGTTAAAGGCCTTGCTATTTAAACTACTTAAAATCTGAAGATTTCTTCCTAGAATCTATTTACCAATATGAAGAGTCCAAATAGGGAAGATCCATTGTAAGTTTTATGCGGGGATTGTCTTTGTGTTCTGGAGCAGACACCTATGTTGTTGCGAGGCTTGTGTGGGCCGTGTAACACCAAGAATTGCTCTGTTCCCAAAGTGCTATGGCAAGATTGCAGAGGACTTCTTTTTCCTTGAATTCTTTCTTCTGTGAGTTTCCACCACAGTAATCAAATTTCATTCTTTTATATTGGTCTTAATACTAGTACTACACAACAGCACTCTTAATTTCATTTTGTCTTGTTGAGAGTCATGTTGCCTCCTATATAAAATCCCTTCACTCTGCAGTAGGGAACGGGTGGCTTTGGAAAAGCTCATTCTCCCCTCACTCCCCTTTTTTACTTTTTTTTTTTTGCTCATTAAATATAAGGCATTTGAAATCTAATGTAATATGCATATGCCACTCATAAGAATGTTTCATTTTAAATAGCAAATCATCTATTTTTTTTTTTTTTTTTAAGGTAGGGAGAATCCATACTTAATAGCTGTTTCATATCCCTGAAGAGGAGACTTAGGTCTGAACAGTATAGTTAATTGGTACAGTGTAAACAGGTACAACTTACGGAAGTAAAGGAATAGTGCGGGCTAGATCAGCTAAAAGTGAGCTCTCCAAGGCTCAAAGTGTTTTTCTGATGGTTGCATCTAGTTTGTTTAAAAATGCTGTTATCACACAGTAAGTTTGCCTATAGAATTGTGCGATGTCATGATTAATGCTGTTTCATTGAGTTCTAGCTTGCCATTCTAGAATTTCATATTGGAGAGAAGATCAAAGAAGCAGCTRTCCATTAACTCTCAGAAGTCAAAGCTTATTTTTTTTATGATGAAAAGTTGACTCTGTGTATTATATTGGGATTTAGAAAGTCCAGAACAAATTATTAACTAGTGCAAAAGCAGTGATCATTAATAAAATAAGTCTGGGAGAAAAAAAAAATCTTGAAAAGATGACCATGAAAGACTTAATAGACTTAACACTATCAGGTGAGGTAGTGGAAATAACAGCAAAAATTAAGAAGATCTAAGAGTACTATCATCATATTTTGACAACATAAAACACTATGCAGAGGCGAAATTAATTTGCCTTCAAATGATTCAGCTATTCTTATTCAGTAGCAAAGATTTATTGAAAACATTTTCAACATCTATGTTATTTTAAAAGATAGCATGAGTTAACAAGAAGCATTTGCTATTCTGATAATAAAAGAGGTTAAAATATGTGATATACTCATTTATAACAAAATAAAGCTTGAAATCCCATTGCCAGTAATTTAAACATATTGCCAATAATTGATGAAATTTTGAATAAGTATTGCTATTAGTAATTTTGACACTTACTACACAGCAAAGTATTCCCTGTCAAGAATTATGGTTTATCAAGACCATTTCATTCCCCTGCTAGCTTGCAAGTTAACAGAATTTCAATAAAGGGAAAAGGTGAGATTAGCAGGAGACTTAAGAATTTAGCAGCATAATATTATATATAAATATGAAGTAGGCCTGGAAAGAACCACAAGACATAGGTTAATTCATCTATTTGCCCCAAGATAGAATTAATAAGTTTCTTCCTAACACATTCATCTATCAATTCCATTGCTGTTAGCTAATGGAAAGTTTTTTTTCTTAGTATCTACTAGAGTTTACTTCATTTGATGCGGTTAAGCGTGTTAATACTGGTCTTCACTATGAACACAGAGGATCTTATGTTTCCTTTTGGTGTCAGCTGTTTGATATCCTTTTCTTTCCTCTTTCAAAAACGATGCTTTCTGTACCCCTTTGTGTTCAGTTTGTGTCAGATAATTCACATTACTCCATCATTAGAGTAGCTGTTGTCTCGCCAACAAGCACTGGTGTGTAATGTTCATGCTCTTTTCTCTTGTTTAAATATTTTAATGTGAGGTTGCTTTTTTTCCCTAGGAGTATGACATTATGCTCAACTATAAATCTGTAGTCTGCAGAAATGCTGGTACCCAGCTGTGACCTGCTTGTGTGTGTGTATTGGTGATTGTTCTTTTGTGTATTGGTGATCGTTCAGTTATTTTTTTCAGATCTCAAGTTTTTAAAGATTCTGCATTGTGAACCAGGTCTCTTGTATGTCATCTGCAAATGGCTGGCATGTACCATCCCTGCTCTGTCATCCCTGCCATTGCTGCAGGTGCTGGCTTCTGCCTAAGTGAGGGCATATCCCTTTTGAATTTTCCATGATACATCCCTACCGCTTAACCCTTGCTTTTAAAACAAAACAACCTACTAGTTTCTTTTGACATGCTCACCCTACAGCCAGGAGAAAAATCAATTAAATTGATTATTTTTTATTCTAAGAACGAAGCCAATGCCTCAACTTTCAATTAATAAATGACAGACATAAAACACAGAACACAGTGTAACTGTGAGTTCCTGATGAASTACCATACATGAGGTGGGCATCTTCATATATCTGATGTGACGGTGAGACAAAAAGTACTCCAGCAGGAGAGACACCGAGACAACAGGCTGGAAGTCCTTGGCCCCAACTTAATGGGACATAATAGAGCAGTGCACAGAGTAGTGCAGCAATACGAACTACATGTTGTGTGGATAGCCCAAGAAAAAGGGTATGTCCAGAGATGACCACATTAAAGCTCAGTCACAGTCTAGTTTCTGGCCTGTCTCTGAGACGGAAGGTTTATCTAACCCATCTCTCATGTAGGCTGATAACTGATAACCTTGCTCATAAAGAAGGACAGCAAGTAAAAACATACCTCTTCTTACCATACTGCATTTTCAGAAGTTTCACTATTGTTATAAATCAAATATTTTTCAAAAGGCATTAATGCTTAAATATAGAAAGAATATGTGCATTCAAGTAGATTGACCATTCTGAATTCACAGTCTGAGTTTTCACAATCACACATTTCCAACCATAGTAAGTCTTGACTGGAAACAGTTTTAGCCATTGGCAGTTTTTCAAGCAGTGCAGTCTAGACCTGTAGCCAGGTACAGGTCTGTGTCCTGCTGAGCACTATTTGACTGGGACGTCATTTGAATTTTTTTTTTTTAAATAATTGTTCAAAATAGCTGTTTGGTAATCATACCACATATTGACCTTTGACATGGTGATCTCTTTTTTTTTTTTTTTTTAATATTTTTTAAAAGATAGAAGTTGTGTCTCTAAGCAAATTCTTACTGTGCAATTTTAGGAAAATTATACACTTTCTTTACTGTGAATACCTATTACCCAAAAAGAAGGTAAATCTATCAATCATATATTTCTGTTTGGGAAAATTTATCATTGTTTWTCTTACACCATTAATATTAATACTTTCATGGAAAATGCTCTCCTATTTAGTGGGATAGTCCATTTGACTCAGCATATGATGGCATACAGATTTTGAAATTCAAAAAGTATTAAATTTAAACACAGTCTGTTTAAAATAAATATATAATAATAGGGAGTGGTTTTGTTTTGAATAAAAACTGACAAATACTTGGCAAAGCAGATGATTTTATGTTTCAGGCAAAGATGACTCAGCTGCCAGAGGCTGAAAAAGAAAAGATAGCGGAACAGGTGGCTGACTTCAAAAAAGTCAAGAGTAAGCTTGATGCGGAGATCGAAATATGGGATGATACCAGTAATGACATCATTGTTTTGGCCAAGAGGATGTGTGTGATTATGATGGAGATGACTGACTTCACAAGGTAATTATGGAAAAAAAACTTCCATTTTTTTGAATATGGGAGGCCTTTTTCACATTTGTATGTCAAGGAATATTGAATTCTCAATGTCAGGTGACAGGGTCATTACATAATTGAGTGTCTAGCTAATGTAATGAGCTAAACATAAGCTAGGAATAGTGAAATGCTGGAAGGGAGGTTTAAAGTTTTGAACACTGCTTTGTCATTAGGTCTCTTTTTTTTTCCCCCCTTTCTCATTTTTTATTAACTTAGTTGTTTGGTGGTGTGTTTTTTTTTTTTTTTTTTAACATTTCTTAGCACTTTATTTTTCCTCTTCAATCAAAGGGAAGTTGACAAAGTAAAACAAATCCTTGAATTTTACGTTTTTTAACAATTTTAAGCGGTAGTTCTGTCTCATTTTTTATTCTTTGTTTGTACTGTTGCACTGTACTGCTGTCAAACAAGTAGCATAATCTAGACATGCATAAAACATATATGTTTAGTAGTGCACCTTCACACTGATGCTTATTTCATACCACACTGCCTGCCATTGTTTTCCTGGAAAATGTATCATGTAGCTATATAGAGTTTTGAAAAACAAAATGTTCTATTGCAGGTAGCTTTGAAAAAGAGTATTTCTCTCTGCTGGTGGTACATGTGCTCTGTGAGTTAGTATATGGTCTGTGATAATTGTATAAATGAAACGATCCTCTGAGGCTCTTGCTATGTACAGAATATATATTTAGTAATTTCCATCAAATGAATGACAGCAAAGGAAGGCATTGGGGTTTTTTTTTCTTTGAAAAAGTTAGGTTATTAGTAAAACAATAGTTGATATGTAGGTCAGCCCTTAAATCACAGCCACTCTAATGCACTTCTTATTTCATAAAGASAGTACTTACCTTTCATGCAGATTCCGATGGGGACTGCTGTGTTTTCTCATTGGTAGTGTGCTAGTACATTTCATGTTGACCTTCAGGTGGGAGAGACAAAGACCTACACCTTGGTCTCTGAAAACCTTCTACTTTAAGGACTAATTTTAATGAAAAACAAAATAAAAAACAAAACTTGTAGTATAAAGTTAGCCTTTACAAATCACAAATTTTACAAATATAATCACCTCTTTCCTTGGAAAGTCCAAGAGCAACTTCTGTCCAGTGTTTGTTGTCTTTAGCGAGCCCACTGAGAAATGTAAAGAGATTCTGGTGGAAAAACTTACATGAAGGAAAAAGTTTAAATATAATGGGAAGAAAGAGGGGAAATTCAGGTCTTTACAAATTTAAGAAATTGTACTTTGTCAAATATGCTTCTAATAAATTAAAAATCAAACAAGCATGATCAGTCCATAAACTGCAATGGAGTGGGATTGTGGTGCGTTGCCTTGTCTCCTGGTACAAAGAAAATGAGAAACGATGGATGCATGTGTGACTCAGGGACCCACGTCTACATCTTGCTCTGGCTTGGATTTCTAATATTCTCCTATCAGAGAAAGCAACACTTAGGTGTAAAGATCATATTGGTAGGTAAGAAATGCAGTACAGGAAGAGTATTTTGAATATTCTCTTTTCATTTTTAGGAAACACATTAATATTTTAGCTTTAGAGATGTAGACTGCAGTTTTAGATATGAAAGTATGTGCAAGATAGTTGGGTAGTAGTACGTAATGGTAAAATTGAAATATAYTGGGGAAAGGACTGTGATGTCTCTGGTGCTATTTCTAGCACTGGTAGTAACATAAACCAATTCCAGAAATAATAGTGCCTTATAAAATACCAAGACACTGGAGTATCTTAGATAATTTCTTCTCGCACCATATGTAACCTGTGTTTGAAAATGCKTACTAATAGTATGTTTCCAACTCAGTTTTCTTTCTTCTGTACTGCTGGCAGATAATCTGCAGAAGTGAAGGTTTGTATTTATCTAAAGAGGAGGCAAAAGGCTGTGGATCTGCCCTGCCCCACTGTTGCTGTTGCAAGATCAATAGGCAACATGACTTAGTGCAGAGGTAAAACATTGATTTCTCCCTTCCTTCCCCATGAAAATCAGAAGACGGCAGAGGCCACAGTGAGTACCAGCTTAAGTTAGAGATTGAACGCACTGTCTGTAGTTCCAAGGTAGGAGACACGGACATGAAAGAAATAAAAGTTTCTGATGTTTTCTACTTCTGACATCAGAAKATATGCAGCAAAATAGCAAACCTGGATCTTAGTCACCTGTTAGCTCAGGTGATTTTTATTAATAAGAAACACAATCGCAATCTACACCCACCAAACCCTATGAATACATTAATGACACCCATCACAGACCTTAAAAACACTCTATTAAAACTTTAATCACACTCTATTAACATCTTAATAACACCCTCAATTACCACCTACTAGGTTTGTGATAAATATGAGACTACAGTCTGATTTAGGTGTGGATAGGATGTGATTGGGGGTGTGATTGCAGACTGAATAGGAGTGATGGGGGTGTAAGTGAGCTGTGATTGGGCTGTGAGTCACACCCTTATCTCACCCCCCCATTGACTCGCCATTGACTCGCCATTGACTCGCCATTGACTCGCCATTGACTCGCCATTGACTCGCCATTGACTCGCCATTGACTCGCCATTGA